CCTCTTGTGCCGTATAAGAGGAGATAAGCCAATTCCTACCTTGTACTTTTTTTTTTTTTTCTCATTTTGCTGGCTCAACATTGTGTGTTGATGGATGAGATCATTTTCACATTGATTAAGTTACTGAGTTCACGAAGGTCCATGTTCAAGACTGACTGGCGATAGAAGATAGTTAGGCATCTTACAAACAGCCTCTGAGTCAGCCTTCTAATTTTGAAACAAAATGGGGTTTGCTTCCTTTGCAGACCCAAGGCTGCTAAACCAATTAAATAAAATAATTTATTTCACAGTTAAACTATATTGTAACTTAAAAGTCTCTGCTTATTTGATTGAGCAATCTAATTATTTAATCCATTCTTTAGAAAAGGAAATACAAAATGGACAGTTATATAGCCAACTTGTGGATTGGCAGCAACTGCTTCTCTAGCACTAGTACCACAGTTATTAGTGGAGTCTTTTCCAGCAGGTCTGCAGTTAAAGATAATACCATCTTTCCTTAGTCCTCCTGCTCTCAGTCCTCATACTTTCCCCAATATTTGGACTTTCAGTACTTGAGTCTTCATGTAGGTAACCCAATATGGTAACTATTTCCAGAGCAGCAGCCATACTGAATTCTTGTGACTAGAGAAGCTCCCTATAGTTGCTGACATTAATTGCAAGAAGTAACTATATACAACTTTGAGAAGTAAATATTTCCAAAAAACAGATCTGATATGGGATGAAACTGAAAATCCTAGGAACATTTGTAAACAAAATTGAATGAAAAGTTATAGACCAACTTAAAATCAGTTTGTTTCAGTAAACTGACTTTTGGGGATAATTGTTTTATATTTCAAAAGTATTGACTTGAGAAATCAGCTGTATGATAATGCCTCTGTATGTTTGTCTTTTCCTGTGTATTCTTTTTTCTGTGTATTTTTAAATACTTCAATAAAAATTTTCTTTGGTGTAGGATTATTGCAAAATCTCCAAATTCAGTCATCAGTGTTATACTGTTATTTTTCAAGGTGTATTTTCAGCAACTGAATTTGTAAAAAAAAAAAAAAAAAAGTTTAAAATAGTACTTTGTTTTTCTTAATTTTTAAACTTTATCTCCGAAGGCTTACTATTTTTGCACATACTTCAGAGATAGAAATCTGGCTGTAATCCAGGCCTTCTGCTATTTTTCCCACTTTCTCCATGTTTTAAAAATATTTCTTCAATAGATATTTGCTGTAGGTATTATTTCAGGTATTGTGGATACAGTTTGTAAACAAGACAAACCAAGTTCTTTCCCTTATGTACTTATAGTCTAGCTGGAGAATAGATAATAAATGAATAAATAAATACATATCATTTAATGTAATAATAAATGCCATGGGGCAAAAAATTAAGCAAGTAAATGGCAGTCACTAAAACCTCAAGTGTTCAACATGTAGTGCTGTTAAATGATGGTTTTCCTTTCATGGTCAAAGTCATAAAAACAGAAACAGTGGTGGGGTGGTTGCCAGAGGCCAGAGGAGGTGGGGAGAAAAGGGTCCCACAGTAATAGGGAATTAGTGTTTAATGGATACAGATTTAGGGAAGATGTAAAAGTTTTGGAGATGGATGGTTGTGATGGTTGCACGACAGTACGAATGTACTTAATACTGTTGAACTGCACACATAAAAATGGTTAAAATCATCTTAGGGTAAATTTATGAAATAAGCATAATGACTCAGCAAACAAAGAGCAAAATATCTTCCAAAGATGAGACCTGCTTGACAGTATTACCATGAATGAAAGAATGTTTCATATCAAAAGATATTTCTTAGCAAAGGAAAAGAGAGGCAAATGACTATTTTTAGCACAACCCAAGCTATGAAGGCGCATTGGAAAGCAACAAACCCATTTCTGTTGCTTTCATTCCCTATTTACTAAACAGTCCTCCGATTATAGTTTGAACCTGGTTTTCATTGTGATTTGGTCAAGGTGAAGACCAGCCAGGTCAACTATCCTAGCTCATTGTTGCATTCCTCATAAATTAATATAGTAGTATAATAGTTTTTACATAGTTTATTAGCAAATTGAATGTGTGATCTGGTACCCCATAAACCATATTCGTAAACCAATTTGAAGCTATATAAGAATCAGATGTTGAAACCCAGCAATCACACCAAGGCCTGCTAGGTTATGGATACATCTGGAAGCTACACCACCTTAGTACACTTTCTCAACGCACACTTTCCCTAATGCTGTATTGCAATTGCCTGTTATTAGACTCGGTTCTTTGAAGATAGGGAATGGATAGTTTCTCTCTTAACAAGTTCTGGCCCGAAGGGAAGAACCCCCAAAATATGTGTTAAAATCCAATTTAGTAAGATATAAGTAGGGAATGAGAATTGTAAAGATTCTCCTGTATATAATTTTCCTCTATACAAATGGAAAGTTAGACAATAGCAGAGACAAATGAGCATGTTTACATCTATTTGGAACTCTCAATTCAAGCTGAAGTTTCGGTGGTTAGGCCGTCTTCCGTTGAGAATGCCCCTAAGTGGCACTCAGACGATATGAAGTGATCGGATGAAAGCCTAGATGCCCCGTCCAGAGTACCACCCCGTTCCTCCAGTAACTTCTCCCCTAGTGCAGTAACGAGCACGGAAGGACACCTTTACTTGCCAAATACAGCACGTGCACTGGGTATAAGTTTCTAACATGCACTCAATCCAAGGAGGAATAAAATTCCTTCCGAATGTGCCCTAGAGTTCTGCTGTTCCACATCATGCAACATTCAGACTCCACGTCAGCCCGGAGTGCCTGGACGAGGGATCCACCAATGACACGAACACAACCACGGATGACGCTGGGCAGCACAGGGGGGCACTGGGCACCTGCTGAGCCCACCAGTTCACAGGGCAAGAGAAACCGCCACGTCAGGCGAGATTTCAGTGCATAACAGAAAGCCGCCTCCGACTTGCCATGGCCAGTCGGGACGACTAATTCTTCTCTCTCTTTAGGTCTTAATTTTTCTCTTTTTGTCTCGATTGGGTCAACAATGCAGCCCAGAGAAAATAGGAGTTATCGGGTAGTTAAGAAAACAGACCAGAGCCTGACTAACTCTGCACCTGGTAGCTGGATGCCCACATCCTGTGAACCCGCTTTTCCCGGAAATGAAGACGGGAGCCCCGCACGGGTTGCTGGGAGAGTTCAGCAAGTTAGTCTGCATCGGGCCGGCGCATGGGAAGCGCCACTTCGCTGTTCATTATGACCCACACAGGATTAAAAATGTTGGAAACGTAAGTTTCACCTGAAAAGCTGTCCCTAACATTCTAATTATGAGTTTACATGTCTGTCTATCACGAGACCCTCACTGACTCCCGCCTGGTCTCGTCATCTTACTAACCGGAGCTTCACCTGCCCACCTGGCATCGCAGGGTCCCCGTTAGTGAACCCCGAAGCCACGCAGGGGACACGCCTCGGGGACAGACCTGCTCCAACCAATGGTGGCAAGTCCACCTGTCAACAGAAGCAAAAAAAGGGGGGGAGCAAGAACACGAGGAAGACTACACTGCAGTTCCGTGCACGATGTGTCCTAACAGTCGGGCATGAAGACTTGAAAGGCGTGAATTTTTACAACAACCCCCTTTGGTTTTCACCGCAGAACCAGCCAGCCCTTTCCAAGGGGAGAAGCGGAGTCTGAGCGGAACCCCGCACCCTGCGGCGCCCCCGGCCCACGGCCCTCCCGGCCCACGGCCCTGAGAATGTGGGTGTCGCCGGCCGCACCGGTAGGCGGGTGGCAGCCCCTCGGGAACGGGCTGCTCCCACCCGGGCGTCCGCCTCCAGCCAGACGGCGAGCGTCCCTAGCAACCCGCGGGCCGGGAGCAGACGGACTCCCCGCGCGTCTCCTCGGGGCGGTGACGCCACCGGGACGCCGGCCCGACCGATGGCGTCACGTCCGGCGCCGGGCCGGGCTCCAGCCTCCAGCCTCGGCAGGCGGAGCGCCCCCCAGCGGAGGGAGCAGAGGCGCCCGCGCTCAGGGTGAGTGGCTCCTCCGGGCTCCCGCGCGTCCCCGGCCTCGGGCTCCCCCCGCGCAGCTGGCGGCCCCCGCAGTTCAGCGCGAGTTCGTGGGTTCCAGCGGGAGGGGAGCGGGGCCGGGGGCGGGAGGGGAGCAGCGAACATGACGGGGCGCGCGGACGGCTGCCCCCTGCCCGCCCCGCGGTCAGAATCAGCCCGCAGCCCGGCCAAGCCCGGGCCGGGAACTGACCGTGACCTCCCGGTTCCCGGTGCGGCCCCGCCCTGAGCCGGGCGGGCACCCCCCTGCCCTCTGTGCCGCGCAGCTGGGCCGGCGCCCCCGGCTTCCCCCCGGAGCCCAGCCGGCCCCAGCCCCCCTCCGCCTGCCCTCCAGGGGGTGGGCACGGTCTGGGTTCCCGGGGGGGTCTTGTCTGAACCCGAACCCCCCTGTTCTCTGGTGCACGGGACGGATCGCATTCTAAACTCCTGCCCCAGGCCGCAGTGCGAAGCTTCACACCCTGTGCGCCCCTCTGCTCCGCGGCGGCCCCCCTGGTGTGTGGGGAAAGGTCCCGCTCTACCACCGCCCCAGCAACGGTTCTTGCCAGGTGGGTTTTGGTCTGGTTTTGGTTAAATCCCTCCGCCCTGGACGATTATTTACCCATTTGAACGTTTAGAG